ACGCGCTGCGCAACTCCGCCATGAAGAATTCCGGCCCCCCGCGCACCGCCGCCCCGCCCACGTCGCCACGAGCCTCCGGTATTTTGGGCAGCCCCGTGTCTCACGCGTCCGCCCCCCTGTCGTACGCGTCCAGCTACCACACCGCCGTCACGTGCTCGCAATGCCCGCCCCAGTTCCGCCCACAATGTAGATCCGCGTGGCGCGGTTTAAACGGATCCGGGCTAGAATTTGTAGTGTACTGTAGCGCGGCCGCGCTCGGCAGTCCGCACAGTTGTTTTAATTTTAAAATTTAACTTGTCGCCACTTGTCAGCCTGTACTGTAGTGGGGCCCCGCCCCGCAGTCCGCACAGTAATTTTAATTTAAAAATGTTACACTTGTCGCCACTTGTCACCGCCACGTGTCCCCGTGGCGGCCTGGCCTGCGGCCAGGCCCCGCCCGTGGCCGCCACTTGTCACGGTAGCGCCAATGGCAACGCGGGGTCATGCGGAATTTTTAAATGACCCACGTAATTTCTGCCCATCCCGTAGCCACCACGTGTCCTTGGTGGCCGCTTGGCCTGCGGCCAGGCCGCCCCGCAGCCCCCCGCCACTTGTCACCGCGGCGCCGCCCCCGTGCGCCAATGGCAACGCGGGAGCGCAAGGACATACAGACAGACACACAGACAACGATTTTTAGTAGTTGTAGACAAGTGGGCTCCGTGCGCGCTTCGCGCGCCGAGCCAAATCCCTTCTTTCTCCACTCCTCGCCCCGCACCTCCCGCTCCGCCGTCCCTTCGTCTCTGGTCCACCATCGTTGCCGGCGTTCCCCGCCCCGCTGCTCCCCCGTCCTCTTCGCTACTGCTCTCGTCCTCTCTCCGGTCTTCGTCGCCCCTTTCCCCCTCGTCCTGCCACGCCTACCGCCCCTCCGTGCTCACTCTGGCTGCAGGTCGCGCTGCTCTCGCCACACTCGCCTCAGTCTTGCTCGCCACCCTTGCCCAGGCCGTTACCCTGGTCGCTACGGTTGGCACTCCCGTCCGCCTCAACCTCCGTACCGGCGAACCCGTGGCCCCCGCCCACACTGCCCCCTCCCTCTCCACGCTTCTGCTCTCGACTGTTTCGCCGCCGCCCGCGTTGCCTGGCGCCTACGCCGCGAGGCGCTTCGCTTCCTCAATCCCCGCACTCCCACTTCCGTGCCCCTACCCTTTCGTTATTCTATGGCTCTCACGCTCTAGACACACGCCCGCGCAATCACACCTCACCCGCCGCCCCGCCCTACTCCACCCAGCCCCTCTACTCGTGCGGCTCGCCCCGCTCCCTCCCTCCCTGCGGCGGCCTTGCCCTCTCCGTCGCAGACCTCCGCCCCTGCTGCTGCTCTTGCCGCCCCCAAGTAACCGTCACCTCGCGTGCCCGGGCTTGCACCCCCACCTCGCCTTCCGCTCCACTCATTTCGCCGCCTGTGCACCTCCCGCTCGGCTTCCTGCTCCGACCTTTGCAGTTACTGCTCCCGACGTCCCCACCCTTGCTGCTGCTGCCGCTGCCCCAGCTTCGTCGCGTGCGCTCTCAGCGACTCTCCCGCCCTCCGCTCTCCTGGTTCCCCTCCCCTCCTGCCTCCTTTGACCGCCCTACGATCCCTCCTCCCCTTATGATGCGCTTCCCCCATCCCCCGCCTGCCCGCCTCTTCTTGATCAAGCCGATCACAGCCACCTTCCCCTCTGCACGCCGTTTCCGTAGGCTCTCCTTCTCGTCCGTCGCGGTGCCGCTCCCACACCCACAGTCATCGCAGTTAGTCAATCTTCTCTCTCGTACGCTGCGAACCCCGCGGAAGGAGCGCAGCGCGACCGCCTGGGCGTCAATTCCCGGCCCCCCTCACCCGCGCGCGTCTTCTTGCGCTGCCGGCTGTGACACCTGCCCGCCTCGCAGCGACAGTCTTCGGCGTTCCTCGCCCCTGCCCCTCGCGCCGGCGCTCGCCCCCACCCCCTTCGCCCCCGGGCGCGGTCCGGCCCCTTCCGCACGCGCTCCGCACCCACCTCTCGGGCCTCGTCAGCGGCCTCTGCCTTCACCCACCGTGCGCGACCCTCGCGACAGCGTGGCCATGCGAGCCCCCTCGCCCCCCGCCAGTGACACACCCTTTCCCCTCGCCGCTGCCGCCTCTGAGGTCATGCGGAATTTTTAAATGACCCACGTAGTTTCTGCCCATCCCGTAGCCGCCACGTGTCCTTGGTGGCCGCTTGGCCTGCGGCCAGGCCGCCCCGCAGCCCCCCGCCACTTGCCACCGCCACGTGTCCCCGTGGCGGCCTGGCCTGCGTCCAGGCCGTTCCTCACGTGGCCGTGACGTGTACGCCGTGTCGCCCCCGTGCGCCCAAAATTTGTTTTCCGGCGAAAAGGCACATCGGAAAAATTGAAAATATTAGGCGCACCAATCAGCACGGCGGCTTCTACAGAGCGCACCAATGGCAACGCGGGAACTCACAGACACACAGACTGTCACGCCACGTGTCCCCGTAATTAAATCACGGCCCCGCCGCTTCCTACACGTGTCCGCGTGGCCGCCTGGCCTGCAGCCAGGCCGCCCCACACGTGGCCGCCACTTGTCGCCGCAGCGCCCCCGTGCGCCATACGGCCAGGCCGCCCCGCACGTGGCCGCCACTTGTCGCCGCAGCGCCCCCGTGTGCCAATGAGAACACGTGCGGGAGCGCACGAA